TAAATGCTGTAATTTGATTATTTTAATAAACCATGTAACTTGGATGGATTCGATGCTGGCGTGACCACAGTGCACACGTCTGCTGTTGCTCACAGTGGTCCAAGGGACCGCTCAGGGAGCTTGTGTGTTTTCTCAGACACATGAAAACTTAGGGAACATTGGTGCTAGGCCTTTATATAGGTTTACAGTAAGTCACCTTTTGGTCAGCAGTATGTAGATTATAAATCATTTTACTGGCATCACAAAAAAAATAAGTAAATAAACCAGCAATAAATTAAACTACACGTCCAAAATAATAAATAATCAACTCTTATGCTGTGTTAGAAAAAACAGACAAAGGGCTATAAGGAGTCATTGTGTCCTAATATGCCAACTGTGCTGCTCTTACAGAAATGATGACACTTTTCTGTGGTTTGTTTGCATTTATTTTCTGTCAGACAATTTCGATTTGGATTTATTCTTCCAGACATTGTGGCACAAGTTAATCTGTCTGTGGTAAAAACGCATCAGCCTTGAGTAACACTCAATCATCACTTCATCTTGTCAGTTGTACAGAGGACCTGTCCAGCACAGAACCACCATGAGCAGAAATGAAGCGGTCTAATCTTTAAAATCAAACTTTCATATATATTACTCTGAAACACCAAAAGCTAAAGTAGTTATTTATGCATCTCATCTGCATGATGGTATCTGGAAAAGTTTGTATCACATATGAAATTACATTGATATAGTGGAAGCAGTGGTATAACTCTGAGCATATAGTCTATATATAGTTTATACTGTAATGCTATAACAAGGAAATAACATTTCTGATCTTAATGCCACACTTTTCATCTTTGTTTCTGTTTTTCAGTCACTGTCAGTCCTCCAGCTTTGGAACCTAAACAAAGAAGAATTGTAGTCGGTAAGTTAATAGAAGCGTGCCACCAGAAGCAACATTTGTCACTCCCAGTGAGGCTGTGCATGTGCTTTTGTGCACAAAAGATTTAGCGTTTTGTGTTGTTTTTCTACTGCTCATACTCAGTATTCATTTTATTTGACCTTCTGACTTACCTGGACCTCATGCTGTCCAATTAGAGGAGCCAGTCTCTGTTCTTAAGCTGGATCCTATTCAGGAGGTGTCAGAAGAGGAGAAAGGTAAAATACACTAAAGACATTAAAACCAGCAGATCCAGCTGATTGCATGCTGCTGCTGCATGGATAAATCAGTCTCCTCTGAGTGACCGTTTTCCATGAGTGCATTTGGACTGAGATCATCTTATTCTGTACTGACAAAAAGGACGTTAAGATGACCTTAGTACACTAAAGCATTTTGGAAAGCCAACTCTTGGCCTGTGTATATTCTGTGATGCTGTCATCATCATGTCCATTCATCATCTTGTTGCCTTGTTGTTGACAAATAAACTTAGAGACATTCTCCTCCTCTGCAGTCACATCTACCCAACTCCACCTGTGGTTTGGAGCTTCCTGTGAAAACTGCCAAATGCATGCTCATTGTATTCTTTTATTTCCCGTTTGCTGTCTGTAATTGGACCATGAATGTCCCGAACAGCTCGACTGACTGACTGAGATGTCCTTTACAGACTCGAGCAGCCAGTCAAACAGAAAGGTGGTGGAGAAGAAGCCTGAGCCGGCTCCAGAGAAGAAGCCAAGGGTGAACACAAGCGTTTTGAAAAGGAACTCCAACATAAAGAGAGAGATACAAGCAGAGCTTGAACAGGCTCTGATCAAGAAGCTGGAGAACTTGGGGGTCAAGCCTGTATGTTGCATATTCCTAATGAGCAATACAAGGAAGAATATGTACCATTATGCTAATCTGTAATGCTAATGTTATTCCCTCTACCTCTTTTAAAAGGATCAGAGCGGTCTAAAGAACAAGGAGCTCACTGCGATTCTGTCCAAGCTGGATTCAAAGCGGGAGAGTGTTGCAAAGTCGATGTCTGGCTACTGGAACCACCGGGAAGAGATAAAGAGCATTGTGGAGCAGAAGCTGGGTGCTCAAAGCACCAGCAATCCTGCTGCATACTCTCAGCCTAGATCCAGACACCCTGTTCAAGGTGCTTTCCAGTTCTTAATCATCCAAAAGCCTCTTAGTGCATGAGATCATCTTCTTAACCAACAAGAAATAATACACTGTGCTTTTGTCAATTATATTGCTGTTTGAGCTACTGTTAGATTTGCTGCTCCTTTTACAATCAGAATTTTTCATCGCATGTGGGTAAAGTTGAATTTTATTTTATTTGACAATGACTGCATGTGCTTTCCATAAGGTAGGTGTAATCTGTTATAGCTTGTTTGCTGCCACATACGCTGATTTAAGTTCTGACACACTGTCAGTGACTGAGCTGCTAATTGTGTTTACTTGACTCGTTTTTCTCTTCATTCAGTGTTGCAGATCCGCCCTCGCTCCAGCAGCCTGCCCTCCAGAGCCAGCCAGGGGGCGTCTGCTTCTGCAATCAGACAGCCTAAGACCCCTCAGCCAGCACCAAGGACCAAGGCCACCGCCCAATTCAAGACCTCTACACCCAACTCCAAGACAGCCTTAAAGAGCTTTGCTACCAAGTATGACAACAAGTTAATTTATCAGTCTTTGTAAAAGAATAGTTTGTCCATAAATGTCCACTCAGTATTTACATGGTTTAATCATAGCTGTGATAAATGTTCTAAAGTCATCTTTGATGAGCCATTGAAAAAAAAACTCACACAGTTTTGAACCATTTAAACATAGCACGCTGTTACTTATATCACCGGTCTGTTCATCATCAGTTCAGTGGAGCACAGTTAAGGTTCAAAACTTTTGCCATTTACTGAAAAAAATCAAAGTGATGTATATTTAAGTATCTCAGTGCTTGGTTGTGAACATGGTTATAGGCATAAATGAACCCGTGCTAAAGCAAGGCTGCAGGGAATTTTATATTTTTAATATTTGTTTAGAATACGACTATATGTAGTGAGCTTTGCTGAGTTCTGCTTCTCTTTTCTGTTTGCATTCGCACCTCCAGTAGGAATGTTAACGTGATAAAATAGCAGATGGTTACCATAGCAGCAAGACATCCGCAACAAAAAGGTAGAGGTCGCCATAATCAGAGTTGTGTGTTTGTGTGTGTCATGGTTTTCATGGTAACAGTGTGCTGTTAAGCCCCAGTGCCTGCAGCCAGCTAATGGGTAGGTTGGACTTTAGTATAGAGTGCTATCTGTTCGCTGTAAGGCTAGTATGCTATGCTAGCACACATGAAGCAGCTGGGCTGGGTCAGTACAGGCTGTGACACACAGGTGCTGAGGTCTTTTGTAACCTTACTTCAGTATTTTCTGTCTCCTTTTCTTCTCTGTGTAGAATCATCATAATAGTTTAGTATCACGACCAACACTTTGGAAAATACAAATGTTCTATTTCAGTTCCATTTGGTTGTTTCTGGAAATTCCCACTTTTTTCTTTTTTTTTCTTTCTTGATTTTTTTGTAATAACATTTTTGAAACGATTGGGCACAAAACAGGTGTTGTACTGTCAGGATGTGGCAGGTAAACCTGTATCAGACTCGGTGCTGGATACACATGCAAACAGTGAAAGTGTGTAGGATGTTCACTTTTGTCGGATGGGGTGGGGCTTGTATATCACAGCTGATGTGGTCTGATCATCCAACACCCCCAGCAAGGAACACATCTCTGACTGGGGTATTTTTTGTAAGGAAAGTGCTTCCAAGTGCAGTGTGACACATCAACAATTTTGTAATCATTTTCCAGGAAATTGCAAAATCTGAAATACCGTTAAGAACATTGTCAGCCTCCTGCTGACTTGTCATAGACTGCTTAAGTTGTATCATTTTGAACATCAACTAGGAACTACGGCTTTTTTCAGGGGTCTCAAACTTGCGGCCCATATTTTGACATGAATAAATATGAAGCAGTCTGGCCCTTGAAGTAAACTTTTATTTTGTTAAATACGAACAAAATGGTAGCTGAAGTGCTGCCACGTGTCCGGCCAGAAAGAGAGGAGTAGTGTGTTTATTTTGTAGTTCCGTGAAAGGCTTCAGTTAGTTGCGAGTGAGAGAAATAAATTGCGATCACGTTTGCAGTTTTGACCTGTTATACAATGCTTGAAACAAAACACTGTGTTTTCTTGTTTGATGTCCGGGGGGGGGGGTACTACTTGAACACTAAAGTGGCCCTCCAATGAAGTGACAGTGCCAGCATTGGCCCACAGCTCATTTAAGTTTAAGACCCCTGGCTTTATTATCAATGAAGTTCTTACACTTAAAAAGTTAACACTTTGACTTCTCGGTTAATTGAAACAGAAACTAAATGCAACATTGTTCTGATCACTGTCAACTTAGTTGTGTGCAGCAAAAACTGTTATTTGTGTCATTCTTAAGGACTCCTCCCTTCAGTTCAGAGGAGGAATCTGAGGATGATGTCACAGAAGAGGATGAGGAACAGCCCCTAAAACACCAGCAGGGGAAATCACCACAACCCAGATTTAACCAAGCAACCCAAATCCAAACTAGAGCTGACAAAGCCAGTCCTGTCCAGGACAGGCAGGCTATTTTCAGGCAGTCGCCTATCTCCAACATTCAGTACTCCAAAGTGGGTGGTGTAACCAAGACTGCGGTCACAAAACTAAAGAGCGATGAAGAGGAAGATGATTGGTCAGAAGTCAGCGAGCAGCAGGAGACTGACCTCCAGAATTACAAAGACCAGAACGGCAATGTGGAGAAGAAAAACCACGGGAAAGGTTAGTTAGGTTTGATGTTTTGAAGGATCTGTGTAAAATGACATTATACAGCATACATGTTCACCCTTAGTGCTGTGGTTATAGCCATTCCTCAACTCCCTGTGAATGGTACTATCTGGATTTTGATCAGTGGTTGTTGATCAAAGACCATTCACAGGATGTGGTTTATGCTGTCATAGTTTGCTTGTTATGTAAGATTCCAAGGTATTGTTACAATGCCTTAAAGTGTAAATTGTGTGTTATGTCTTTTTTACAGAAAACAAAATCAGTGACCTGGCGAGAAAAATGGAGAAGCAGTTTGCTGAGAGAGCAGTCAAGAAACCACCCGGTGGCGTTAGCGTCTTACCAGAGAGGGCGGATGAGGTTCAGGAACTCAGTGTAAGATGATGTGATCTCAGTGGATTGCTTTGATTTGATACTGCATAAATAAAAATGTAAGCTGTCATCGCAAAATTAAAAATGATCCATAATGCTGAAACACTAATATACTTGCTGGCAGTACACAGATCTAGAGGAGAGCAGCGAGTGGATGGTCTCCTCCTTAGAGGACCGACGGGATATGTCAAAACCAGCCCAGGATTCAGGACCAATGAGGAAAAGCCTGGAATCACGAAGCACTAGTGTCTGGGGAACCCCCACAGAGAAGGGTCTTAAATCAGGTCAGTGCCACTTTAATGCAGATGAATGTTTTACTGCCTCTCGTGGTCTTCATAGGAGGACATGTTGACATTTGGAGTTTGAAGCTTCTGTCTCATGCTGTCTGTGTGTTGTCGTGTGGCTCTCAGGTCTAACTGAAGCTGGAACAGGAAGCACGCTAAAGAGCAGCCTGTGCTCCCTGAGTGACATCAGTGACTCTGAGGACATCAGCTGATCACACAAAGAAACCTCAGCCACCTCCTCTGGCAACTACAATCAATCATAAAAAGCCATATTATAAAAGCTGTAAATAGAGGAAAGCAATATTTCACAAAGGTAGCTAGGATTCAGAGGTTGGCATAGAAAAGGTGGCCATCTAATCAATACCATAGACCTCGAAACTCTCTTCTTGCCTTAGTCTTTTTTACTGTTTATCTTTTAATAGATTGTCTTCTGTTTTTCTTGTTTCGTTTTTTACTCATATACAATCCAAACTTTAAATGAGATACTGATTTTGGTACTGTATGTAGAGTGGGTACGATTTTGTATATCCCATTTTATAATGTATGTGACTTTGTAAATAAAATATTTATACAAGCAATCATAGATTTTTCTTATGAAATGATTTCAAGCAAGTAGTTTTTTGCCCAAGTTTTGCTTTAATGGAAGTATTCTTAATGTCAATAAACACAATGAAATATGTCCAATGAAGGAAATAAAACAATGAGCTGTACAATAGGAAGTCTTAACATGTCACAGGAAACAATCTTTTGAGATGCCTATTCTGTGGATTTTGAACATAAAACTTCATGTGACAACATTTCAGCATTAATTCAACTGCTAAATATACAGAATATGCAAAATATGAGATATCTGCAAACCAGTTTCAATGCAGTCTTGTCTAAAACAGCCTAATAATTAACTGACATCATTATGTTACAGTCTATATTTTTAATTCAATAAGATAAAAACTAGAATATACTTTAAATGCTTGAAATCGTTAAAAATGGCAGGCTTTGTGGAAAATTTTGGGTCAATTTTTGCTGTAATTTTGGGGGTAAACAATATTATTTAGCTATAATAATATTATTTCATTTATTTTATGTAGCACCAGTTCACAGTCTTTAAGGCAAGCTATCTGAGCCTGGCGTCAGATGAAAGTTAAAGTAGACCCAATATGCCTTTCCTTATATTCAGGCAAAGATTTACTTTCAAGAAATGTGAAAATTAGAGAGAGAACATGCAAAACTGCATTAAAAGACTCCAAGAATTAAACATGTAAGGAGCATAAAACAAACTCAGTAGATTCCCTTGAAACTGATCTTATGAGATAAACTGAGTTCTTGTCATACACACTGAAAGTTTACGTTTCAGCTTTTTGTAATGATTTTGTTCTTTTTTTCAACAACATTTTGAGCTTATCTGATGATCTGTAGGATTGCAACATCTACCAAGTATACAGAAAACATTGTCTTTTTATTCGTTTATTTAATCTTGAGCACCATCTTCTGGCATCTCAGCAGAAGTACAGGCTCAGTACTACAGTAAGGACTTTTTAAGAAATATGAGAAATTGATCACTGTGTGTGGCACTCGTTCTCAATGGAGAGCATTACCGATTAAATTCACTTTCGTTGATTTCCAATTAAAGTATGTCATTTTTATTTATAAAATGCTTTGTATTTAGCGAGTGATGAGTAAAGTGCTTATCATTAAGGACAGAAGAAAAATACAAAAATAAATAAATGAATAATAAGAAATAATTCAAAACGGATTTTAAGAAGTGACTTAAAAATAGACAATGGCAGCAAATTCCACAACTTAGGCGCTGTCACAGCAAAAGCTCTCTGAGCTTACGCTGTGTCCTGGCACATCTAAGAGCAGATGATTGTCTTACCTGAGCGACCAGGAGGGTGAGTGCAAATGGTACAATGTAATGTACAATGTGCGACGTAGGTACAGAATACTTTGTACCTACATTGTTTTCTACAGATTGGAAATAATTTTTTAAAATCTCTTTATTAAAATAAGATTTTTGTGTATGTTTCATGTGTATCGGGTGATCAATCAATGCAAAAGAAAAACAGAAGTAACAAAGGCAAGATATCTGAAGACGTGTAGAGGTGACAAAATAATTGTGTAGTGGATATAGTGATGCTCTTTCTCTCTTTTTTTCATAAGCATGCATTATATGCCTGCTTTAACAACACATACAGTCAAAAAGTAATGTCATGAATGAAAGTGTCAGAAAAAAGCAGAAGCTTTCTCATTTAAGCAAAAACTGGGGATAAAATAAACATTTAAAAAACTACTAAAGCTACTAAAGTTAGTTATTAACTGTCTTGTGGAGAGTTAGTAGCAAAATTGATCCCACCTTTATCATGATCAGCTCAAGGTTCAAGGTTCAAGGTTCTTTATTTGTCACATGCATAGTTATAAAAAAAACAGCTTTTATGTATAATATATACAATGCGGAGTACCTCCTGCCTGACGGAGCAGATGATTAGCTTAACTGACGGAAGTAGAGAGCATCCAGTGAGGATGCTCTCAATGGCACAGTGGTAGAAGGTCCTGAGGATTAACAATCAAATGACCCCCTATGAGCAAGCACTTTGGCGACAGTGGGAAGGAAAAACTCCCTTTTAACAGGAAGAAACCTCCGGCAGAGGTTCAGGGAGGGGCGGAGCCATCTGCTGCGACTGGTTGGAGTGAGAGAAGGAAGACAGGATAAAGAAATGCTGTGGAAGAGAGACAGAGATTAATAGCAGGTACGATTCAATGCAGAGAGGTCTGTTAATACATAGTGAGTGAGAAAGGTGACTGGAAAGGAAAAACTCAATGCATCATGGGAATCTCCTGGCAGCCTACGTCTATTGCAGCATAACTAAGGGAGGATCCAGGGTCACCTGGTCCAGCCCTAACTATATGCTTTACCAAAAAGGAAAGTTTTAAGAAAGTTCCACATAAGAGGGGCCTGAAAACTGAAGGCTCTGCCTCCCATTCTACTTTTAAATACTCTAGGAACAACAAGTAGGCCTGCAGTGTGAGAGCGAAGTGCTCTAATGGGGTTATATGGTACTACAAGGTCATAAGATGGGGCCTGATTATTTAAGACCTTGTATGTGAGGAGCAGGATTTTGAATTCAACAGGGAGCCAATGAAGGGAAGCCAAAACAGGAGAAATATGCTCTCTCTTTCTGGTCCCTGCCAGTAGTCTTGCTGCAGCATTTTGGATTAGCTGAAGGCTTTTCAGGGAGTTTTTAGGAATTTCTGATAATAATGAATTACAGTAGTCCAGCCTGGAAGTAATAAATGCATGAACTAGTTTTTCAGCGTCACTCTGAGACAGGATATTTCTAATTTTAGAGAATTTGCGCAAGATATTTTCTTGGTCAAAAATGACTCCAAGCTTCCTCACAGTGTTACTGGAGGCCAAGGTAATGCCATCCAGAGTAGGAATCTGGTTAGATACCATATTTCTAAGATTTTCAGGGCCGAGTACAATAACCTCAGTTTTATCTGAATTAAGGAGCAGAAAGTTAGCGGCCATCCAGGTCTTTATGTCTTTAAGACATTCCTGCAGTTTAACAAATTGGCCTGTGTTATCTGGCTTCATAGATAGATAGAGCTGGGTGTCATCTGCATAGCAGTGAAAATGTATGCTACGTCTTCTAATGATACTGCCTAAGGGAAGCATTTATAATGTAAACAGAATTGGTCCTAGCACTGAACCCTGTGGAACACCATAGTTGACCTTTGACCTTGCATTTTTGACTCATGCAAAAATTGGAGTCTATTAGATAGATATGATACAAACCACTGCAGCGCAGTACCTGTAATACCTACAGCATGTTCTAATCGCTCTAATAGGATATTATGGTCGACAGTATCGAATGCTGCACTAAGGTCTAGCAGGTCAAGCACAGAGATGAGTCCACTGTCAGAGGCCATAAGAAGATCATTTGTAACCTTCACTAAAGCTGTTTCTGTGCTGTGATGAGCTCTGAAACCTGACTGAAACTCTTCAAATAAACCATTCCTCTGCAGATGATCTGTTAGCTGTTTGACAACTACTCTTTCAACGATTTCTGATATGAAAGGAAGGTTGGAGATTGGCCTGTAATTAGCTAAGACTGCTGGGTCTAGAGATGGCTTTTGAGTAAAGGTTTAACTACTGCCAGCTTGAAGGCCTGTGGTACATAGCCGATCATTAGAGATAGGTTGATCATATTTATGATTGAAGCATTAATTAATGGCAGGGCTTCTTTGAGCAGTTTTGTAGAAATGGGGTCTAAAAGACACGTTGATTATTTGGAGGAAGTAATTAGTAATTAATTAAGTAATAATTTCTCTAATGATTAAAATTTTATTCGTGAAGAAGTTCATGAAATCATTACTAGTTAATGTTAAAGGGATGGTTGGCTCAACAGTACTCTGACTTTTTGTCAGCCTGGCTACAGTGCTGAAGAGAAACCTAGGGTTGCTCTTATTTTCTTCAATCAGTGATGAATAGTAAGATGTTCTAGCTTTACAGAGGGCTTTCTTATAATATACCTTTCCTTATATTGTAAGGTAAAGACCCTACAATAGTATACAGAAATCCCAACATCCCCTATGACCAAGCACTTTGGCAACACTCCCTTTCTGCTGGAGGTAGAAACCTCCGGCAGATTCTCACAACCCTCCGGCAAAACCAGGCTCAGGGAGGGGCTCAAATTATTTTTCCACAACACAAACCAGGCATGAACATGAAGAACTCAAAAAGAAGTTTTAAAATGCTTATCAACCACTTGATCAAAATTACAAAAATGATCAGTTTGTATGGTAAATAAGAGTAACAGGTTGGACATGTTATGCTTTAACACATCAGTTAGCCATTCTCAAATATCAAGAAAAAGATGAAGATGAATTGGTCCCCTCATTAAGTCCCCAATGAGGGGACCCATTCAGAAGGATTTACATAAGAGTCACTGGTGGCACAGGCAATTCAGGGACACAACTTTATTGCAGAGATTTTAAGCATTAAAAAACTTGCAAACAGAAAAATTGGTGCAGAATATTATAAGTAAGGAAATGCACCAGTAATACATTAAAGGCCAATTGTTAAACATTTTATAACTTATATTAGCAACTGAACTTGTACAAAGAGGATTGGAGACATGGAATTTTGAGGAGGTTGGCCAATTTTTATACAAAATACACCTCGTCCACCTTGTGGACTCAAATGTAATTTACAACACCAACCAGTAAGAGCAATTTCTCCTTTATGCTACAGCTTCATATTGTATGGGTAATCATACGTTTTCTGTTCTCTTCACTCTTGGTTCCCTCTGGCTCAGACGAAGCTGTCTCTGCCCAAGGTTTGATCTGTCTTATTTGTTGCTCTGGTTGTTCGGCCATCCATGCCTTTGTTATACAGTGGGGGCACTAATGTCACTCTGGAGGATGGGGGCGGCATCATGTATGTACGTCTGGTACGGGCAGTGGTGTAGGAAACTGGTCTCTGTGGCCTTTGGGTGGAACTGATGCTAGAAAAACAGGAGACACAAGGTGAGGTAATCCAAGCTGTTATCGGTTGCTAGTTGTGGCCTGCTATACAGGCAGCCACGAATAGAGAAAGGTTACCACTTTACAATCTTTAAGGACTTATTTATTTTACTCACCATGATGGTAGGATTTCTTTCCCAGACAAATAGGCCAGCACTGCCCCTGCACAAATAAGAAGAAGGGATCCTCCCCAGCCAACAAAAATTGCTGCTCCAAGTTCAAACCTGAAGTGAATGCAGATGTGTTTCATTGCATGGATTTTTAAAGTTAGTATCTATTTTTAAAAATCAGCTACTATAATATGAATACCACTTGAAAATTACTCACTTCTGTGACCTGAAATTTGGATTCTTAAATTCAGTTATGACTCTGTTAGCCCACCACGAGTAGGTGATCATGCCGCAGCCGCCTACCAGAAAAGAGGCTGCATTTTAAAACCTCTTTTTGGCTATTTTGAAAACTGATCAACCAACATATATGTATTGAAGGATTGTTTACCTGAAGCCAGGTAGGTGATAGCACCAGAAAATGTCACCCTTGAATTGACAATCTCTGTCCCACCTATTTTAGTACATTTCATCCCTATGAGTGTGAGGACGCCACCGAAGAAGCCTGTAATGACAGCACAGACCGCCAGTGCTCTGCAGGCGTGCAAGAACACTGAAAGAAAACAAATACAGTTTATGTTAACATAACAGTTGTGCATTTTATTAAGATAACCTAAAGAAATTTGTATGATTTCTCTGCTTCAAATTGTATCTTCAACATAGAAAAACATAGCAATGAGCTAAAGGAACAGCTGAGTAGAAATTAAAAAGAGAGACTGTAAAGTTTTGAATATCTCAGCGTATCCTACCAGGCAGGGCCAGCATGGAGGGGTAGTATTTGCAGTCAGACACCCCCGTGGTGTCTGAGATGCAGTCCATCCACAGGTTGGAGTAGTAGTTGGAGGTGGTCAGCACTACGGTGCCCACCTCTGAGAAAGTCCAGTACTCTGTGGGAAGAGTTGAAGAGACCAGAATCCAGCCACATAAGCAGGACACGAAGCAGCCAATCTCCACGTACATCACCACCGTCCTGTATTTCATGGTGAATTCTGGTCTTCGACCAAAATTCGTAACAGTTGAAAAAGTAAGGTCTCACTGCAGGAAATGTGAATGGGCCTCCCCCTTTGTGTCATTGCTGATGTGTAAGTGTCAGACTAGCAGTGTGGATGCTTTGAGCTCATCTTATCTTTTAGATAGTTTTGTCCAGTAAGCGCCTTTGATGTTGCCACCAGGAACAGCATTACGCCTGCCATTGGTTTTAACCTTTTCATCATGGTGTGCCTCTACTTTGTTTAGGTTCCCTGCTCAGATGTCAAATGTGTAAAAGTCATGGTTTTCATGACTAAACATTAACAGTTGTTTGTGTGATGTTTTTTTTTGTGTGTGTGGGGGGGGGGGGGGGGGGGGGGGGTATTTCATAACTTTCAAGTTTCACGGTGATCCCAGATTTCAGAATTGTTAAATGTATTTGTTTTTCATTGTTTCATATCTGTTATTGTTTAATAACAGAAGACAGCATGGTTTCTGGATCATGTTCATATGGGGCTTATTTGCAATGGTAGACCTTTAACCTGTGTTTGTGGATGAAGTTGTTTCTGAGTACATAAAAGAATTACCAAACAGATTCAGGCATGTTTTTGATGCAGTTTGAGGGCCCAAAGTTCACAGGCATGCTATATCGATGTTTGGCCTTGTCCTTTATGCAGAGTTCTGCAGATTCTCACAATGTTTTGAAGATATTTTGTAATGTAGATGATGCAGTCTTTTGCAACTTAAAATTGGGGAAAATAATAAAAAAAAAATCCTCCAAACTGTATAGAGATAGTTTTCTGCATTTTGGTGAACCATTGCCTAACTTTATGTCTGAGTGTTTCATGTCGTGCTGTTGTAAATAAAACATGCATTTATGCGATTTGCCGTCATTGCATTCTGCATTCGGCCAGAACTGTCTTATCCAAGCTGTCTTGTCATTTCTGTAAATAGTCTTTTGGAATAGATCTCCAAGCTTCGTCAAGGACATTCCAACGCTCTTTGAATGTTGGTTGCCTTTTGTTTCATTCACTGACAAGATCATCCTACATTACTTCAGTAATGTTGAGATGCTTTTGCATGATGTTTCTGAATCTAAGCTTTTCCTTGCTCATAATGTTATGAGTTCCTCAAAACATCTCTCTATCTTCCTCTTTCAGTCTGATGGAGGGAGAGGATCAAGAATTTTCCTCACGCTTTAAATGTTTTTTCCCCCCCATTGATTCTAGTAGTGGTAACAAAGCACAGTAGTTTATATGGTTTACATTTAAGTAAACCAACCTTTTTGGATAGTTAACTACGTGTGGAGTTACACAGTGAATTATACAGCTAGTTAGAGTGAGAATTCACGAGAGGGATTTAAAAACCACATTACCTCAGTTTCGATGGATCTGCTTGTCTATGTAAAAACAACTCGACCACGTTGTTTATGTATAAACAGTAAGCAGCCATGCCTGACACACCTGCATGAGGGAGAGTTGATGACACACGGGGAAAAACACACACAACAAACCAGTAAGTGGGTGTTCTGAGAAGCTTCTGAAATTGTGTCTTTTATCCTGTCTTCCTTCTCTCACCCCAAACGGTCACGGCAGATGGCCCCGCCCCTCCCTGAGCCTGGTTCTGCTGGAG